TTCTTATTTTATTTTTTTTTTTTTTTTTTTTGGTGGTACCAGGGATCGAACTTGGAACCTTGTGCTTGACAGGCAGGTGGCAGAACCACTGAGCTAAATCCCTGGCCCCTTTATTTAATTCTTTTTACCCTATTCTAGGCTTTTATCTTGGCCTACTTACTAACTAAGCTACTAAAGCAGGATAAATCAGGGAACCAAGTCCCAAAGCATGGTTTGGTTGATTGCCAAGTCATTGGTCTTGGAACAGTAAATTCTGCTAGATGCTTTGGTATCATTGCTGATAAATTACTTTGTTCTGATTACCCTTTGCACATGTTGTTTATCGCTTAAATATCATTCACATGAAGGATTGGGGGGGGCAGTCTGGTAACAGAACATACATGCTTTTATTCTAAAGTGAATTTTCTTTAATACCAAGTTTACCTCCTGAATTTATCACACAAGGGAAATGGCCTAGAGCTGGGATTGAAGCCTGTGGGTTCTGCCTTATAGTACCTTCTCACTTGTACCATGGGACTTCCCATAGACAGATACTTATTTAAAACCTGAAATTTAGTATGTATTTTCAAAAGGACACAGAAGCAACTGTCAGGTCTCTTTGCAGAATTTTAAAATGGAGCAGTTTGCCTAAACCATAATAATTCTCCCACAAACTTACTTTAGAAACATGCTTTTGTACTATTTATACTATACAGTTTCCTATAAGGTCCTTTTGAGTATAACTATTTACACCACTTTTTTTTTAATACTCAAGTAATGGGGGCGGGATCCCAGTACCCTGAGCAGCTAGGCATAAGGATCACAAGTTTGAGCCCAGGTGGGCAGCTTAGTGACTTAGTAAGATTCTGTCTCAAAAACAAGAAGGCCTGGGATGTAGCTCAGTGGGAAGGCCCTAGGTTCAGTTTCCAATACTGGGGGAAAAAAAGACTATGCTGGGGATTTGGCTCAGTGATTCCACCGCCTGCCTTGCAAGCAGAAGTTCTGAGTTTGATCCCTGGTGCCAAAAAAAGGAGGGGTGGTGGTATTTGTGTTGACCCAGCAGTTTCTGATGTACGTGTTATCGTTTATGGAGTTCTCCTGTCTAGCGAGCAGCAGAACGAGCACTCCAGGTGCTTCCCCTTGGTATTCATTGCCCTTTTGCACGTCCTCCTTCCATGTGAGGAGGGACACAGCTGCCTGGCAGAGGACTGGGCAGCAGCAGGAGAGTTCTTGGCCAGGTCTGGTCTCCGTATTCGAAGGATGCTTCCCCCTTTTTCACTGTCAGATCACATCCTCTGAAAAAGCCAGAACCAGCTTAGGGTCATGCTCACTTTGGATTCTCTAGAAATCCATGAACTTGAGCATTTGTCCTTTTCTGCAAATATAGTGAATAATAAAACATTTTGTGTTGTGGGATCTCAGAACCTTAACAAAATGACATATAATGTTAGGAATTCATAACATTTGAGTGATGATTTATGATAAACTCTGGAAGACATGTTGTTTTTGTTCAGTTAACATAGTATAAATATATTTTTAAGGTTTTTTGAGTTTTGAGTTACTAGTGAGAAGCTAGTACAGTGGTTAAGAGCAAGGTCTACAGCTAGAATGCCCTGTTCCCATCCCTTCCAGCCTAGTTACTTAAGCTTCCTGTGCCTGGGTGCCCTCTGTTATAGAAATAGAATACTGATAGTATATGATTACTTCATGTGGGATTGTCATGAACACGCGCAGCAAAGAAATTTATGATGAGAGCTTAGAATGGAGCCCGACGTACTATAAGAGCTGCCTTCATATAATCTTTGATAAGGATGTATTCTGTGGATAGCAATAGCTTGGACGCTTAGCCATTACTGTTACGTTGCGTGATTGTCAGGTTATATTAATAAATTGGGTCCACTGTTCTGGGTACATGTTAGTAAGAAATGGATAGCCAAAATGCAATATTTGCAATTATGTTCCCCAAAAAAGGGCTTGATACTTGCTCCTTTCTCTGGTGTCTTTAGGTATCTGATGTGTAGCCATGCAGAAGACCTGCGAGCAAAAGCAGAATGGGAAGGCAAAGGGACAGCTTCCCGATCAAAACTATTGGACAAACTTCAGAGTAAGAGTCTGATTTTTTTTGTGGTACTTGGGATTGAACCCAGGACCTTTGTACAGAGCTACAGACCTCCCTGCTTCTTCAAAATTGCTTTAATTTTGAGATGACATCCCACTGAGTTGCCAAGGCCGGCCTTGAACTTGGCGAGCCTTCTGCCTCCGCCTCCCAGAGTGCTGGTGTTACATATGTGCTCTACTGTACCCAGCCAAAAGTCTGAATTTTTGATGTTTATTTTCTCTTAGATTAAAAACATACTGGGTGAGTTGGACTTGTCTCTAGGTGTACTTCTGAATGGTTATAGAATGGGAGCGCTTAAACCAAAGACTTTCCAAGTCCGCCAATGTCAAAGCTTCCAGGATGTGAGAGGCATGGTCCCGGGGAAGTCCTTTCATTCATATTAGGAGGTGATGGCTCTTCCCAAGATTCACTTTGGAGCAGAAGTGCTATAGTAAAGAGCAAACAATATGTAAACCAAACTTTAAGCTACAAGTATTGGACAAATGTTGTTGATTTCAGTAGTAAGGCCCCGGTTTCCTTAGGTAAATTCCTTTATTCCCTTAGCATAACTTCCAAATTGTAATTAGGGCTTTGTTTTTGCCATGTCTTCCAGTGAAAGGTCTTTTCCTTTCTGCTTTAATTACTTCATAATTTTAATGTTGAAGTAGAAGTGGAAATTTTAAGACTCAGAAAGCTGTAAGATTAAGATACATATAAGGCATTGAAAGATTGGGATTGATTGCTATTAATAGCAAAACACCAGCTACTCTGAGTTTCCACAATGTCCTTGGCAGTAGGGGCCATTTGACTGGACTGGAACTGGACCTGTTACAGCATTTTGGTTTGTCCTTGTCGAGTGGAGAATTTTCTTACACTTGGCCTCCCACTGATGTGTAATCATCATTAGGTCTTTTTATCACCATCATCTGCTTTTTTAAATTTTATTTTTTGATTCCGGGGATCAAACTCAGGTCTTTGCGCTTGCAAAGTAGGTGGCAAAAATCATCTACCTTTTTTTAATCATTTTTTTGGTGGGTGGGGGTGCTTTTTGTTTGTTTTCCCAGAAAAATCTACCTGCAAAATAAAGCCCTTTCCCCAGGTGTATTCCCATCCTCACTGTAGCCTTTCACAGACAGATCCGCTAGACCTTGTCTGTTTAGGGGACACAGCATTATTGAGTTAGGGACAAATACAGCAGAAGATGAGCAAATGTCTTCAATAAAAGTTTACAGTTTATTATTGTTTTTATTTCTCTTTTTAAAAAATATCTCCCATTAAAGCCTATTTACCACCGTCAGTGATGCTTCCCCCACGGCGTTTACAGACTCTCCTGCGGCAGGCGGTGGAACTTCAAAGGGACCGGTGCCTATATCACAATACCAAACTCGATAACAACCTAGATTCTGTGTCTCTCCTTATAGATCATGTTTGTAGTAGGTAAGTGGAAACCTTCTTACGTTCTGAAATATACTCACATTTTACAGGTGCAATTGTGAACTTTATTAGAATGTTTTATTTTTTATAAAGTTTTGTCCTGTAGCTATGTAACAGTTTATGTCTGACTTAGCATTTGTCCATAAGTAAACCTAAAACTATTAAAATTAAAAATTACGAGAAATTTATGTATGTTTATAGAGTAGGTCATGGTTGGAACTGAAGCTAGAGAGCCAGTTTTTCTTTGTCAGTGGGTTTGGTTAGTCATTTTCTGTGTCTTGACAGTTGTGGCCCAGTCTACGGTATTTTCTGCCCATAAAGGTCATGGGAGGTAGTGCTTTTTTCTTAGTGAAAGTTTTGCTTTTTAATAGAAGAGGATCTCTAAACCAAAAAGGTTATAAATAACGCATTAACTTCCTGGTTTGCATTATAGCATTATACCTTACGTTTCAGGCTAATCTTTTGATGTTAGGAGCATTTAAGTAGAAAAATGTCCTCCTATTTTAATAAAAATCTCCAAAATTGAAGCAAAATAACAAAAAACAAATTTTGAGGCCTTTAGACTCCAGAAGGATACATTTGGGCTCTGGGGACCCAGCACAAAGTGGGCAAGCTGTAAAATGCGAGCTCTGCTGCTTTTGCCAAGGGCCTGGGGATCTAGTGGCTGGGCCAAACAGTATGAGGGCTCTGAATAGCCACAGAAATCAGTGGACCCATGCACCTGTGTGCAGAGAGTACCCCTTCGGTGCTGGAGATGGAACCCAGGGCTACCCAGATGCAAGCTGACTCTGAGCCTTGCCACTAAGCTCTACCATCTCCCAGCTCCATAGAACACATCTGCATATACTTTTGACCTCAGCCTCCCCAATTACAAAACAAATAATTATTTTAAAGCTATTGGTTTTAACTTAGTTGCAAATATCACTCATCTGAAACATTAGATTTTTAAGTGATGTATTGTATATCTTGTACAAAAATGATCAGTTACCCTCTTTGAATGTTTTTCTTGGACTTGTTTCAGAGTATTTTTAAAGTCTTTAAATTTAAAAGCAGTAAAAGATAATAAATCAAAAGGCTTTACAGTTTCATAGCTCCTTTAGGAGATTTGAGAACAATGCCTCCTAAGACAGTTGTGAACCTGTCTTTTTTTTTGGTTCATAAATTTATTGCTTTTGGGATACATTGAAAGGTGATGGTCAGAACTTTATGATTCAAGAGGTGTCAAGGTTAGGAGGTTGCTTCCTGTTTGGAAACTGAAATGTCAGAATATGATGTTTGTTAAACTTCAGTATCTGTACCTGTGAAACTAAATGGTGGCAAATGTTTAGTTTAACTCTGCTTCTGATCGGGGCCAGGTCCTGTAAGCCCATGTAAAAAGCACTGTCATTGTATGAGTTGACATAGGACCAACATGGTTGGTTGGTTTTAGTATGTTTGCCGCACATAACGGAAGCATTCCTATTTGAAGGTCTTCAGTGCAATCCTAAGTAAAAACAGCACTTTCCTGTTGCTCTTGCTTCAGAGCTGACTTGTTGAAGGCATTGCCCACTATGCAGTTGGCAGGATCTACATCCTTCCTTTCCCTTTTCTCTTCAGATCTCTATAGTCTCAGGCAGGGTGTGTGAGGCTAGTACAGCTGATGCTGCGGACGAACAGCCCATTGCTGGGTACTTCACAGCAATGTGGTAAGCGTCACTGAGAACATTCCAGACTCTCACTTGTACTCCCAGTCCCCCTGAGCATCCTCCTCTTTTGTAAATGTGTATTCCAGAATTGTGTTTCTTCCCTCGTCTTAATGCTTCTGTGGATGTAGTGACTCCTAGAAGTGGGCTAGAGTCACTCACTGTAATTTGGATTGAATACCTTTTAAATGCAGCACGTCTAAAGGAGAACTTCTGTCTCATACACATGCTGATTCTGCTTTTCCTCTGGAATTCTGTGAGGATCTACACTTCCCAAGCTGGAAAACTGGGAGTCAGCTTCAACTGTTCACTCTTGAGTTAGAAGTAAAGACAGTGAGGGGCTGAATGAGTCACTGTGTCAGGATACACAGTCTTGAGAGTGCTAGAACCTGAATTTCATTTAATTCTTAGTACTTGGCTAGAGGCCTTTAAAAGAAGGGTCAGTTGTTTTTTTTTTTTTTTTAATCTGTCCTCTCATCTGGGAACTAGATTTTAGCATTGGAAGTAGAAAACTACAGTATTTTCTGATATTAAATCTTAGCATTGAAATCTAACTCCTAGCTTTTTTTTACAAGGCTCAAGAATCTTCTTCCTTCAGCCTCCCCAAAGTGTCAATATTGGCCTTTAAGTAAATTTTTTTTATAAAACAAATTTGTGGTACAAGATGAGTATCCCTTATCTAAAATGCTTGAGACTGGAATGTTTGGGATTTGGAATATTTGAATATACATAATGGACCACCCTGAGAATGTGACTTGAAACACAAAATCTGCTTGTGTTTCACATTCACCTTATATGCATCACCTGAACATGACATTCCCAGCACACCTGCATTTTGCATGTTTGGAATCTTCCCCTTATGGTGTTTTATTGGTCCTCAAAAAGTCCACATTTTGGAGTATTTCAGATTTCTGGATTAGATGCTTAAATTGTATAGATTTGTGGTGTTGAGACTACTGCATGTGGTCATTTAAATTTTAAGTGTACAAATTTAAGTCAAGTCAGTCAAGTTTGATGTTACAGACGATGTTTCAGGTTGGTTGTTGGCCACATATGAGTAGGGCTGCCACATTGGACAGCAGCGGATGTGGCATTTCCACTGTTACAGGAAGTCCTGTTGGGTATTGCTGATGGGAGAGATTGGAGAAGGCTAGAATGGTTTTTAAAAATGAATATTAATAAGAATGCTCATGTATACAATAGATTTAATTATAAATCATAGAATTTTTTGCCCTTTGTTTATAAATAGCTTCCATTCATGAGCACTATTCAGACTCAGTCTACATGCTTTACCATTACTGCATCTTCCTCATCCTGTATAAGGAACCCTGTAGGACACAATCATTATCTTTAGTTCATAGTTGAGAAATGGAGAGATTAAATAAATATCCCAGAATCACAGGTGCGAAGTGGCTGAGCTACAATTTGAACCTAAGTGTGTCACACTGCTTTTCTTGTTCTACAGGCTGTTTGCTTCTTAATAGCAGTTACCACAGTCTTACATGCATTTCTCTTGTGCACTCCCAGAAGTACTGATAACATACGAGGATCTGTTGAGTTCAGGGATTTTAAATGCTGTTCTAATTCTTATAAGAATTCAGCATTCTTGGGTGGTTGTCAGTCTTCTTTTCCAGATGAGGGAAGTGGAGTTCAAAGGTAGTTGTTAAATGGTTTGCCAGAGACATTAATGCTTATGTCTAAGAAAGGACCCAAACTCTTTGTCAGGGAGCAATGCCTGTTCTTTGTGTTGTACAAAGTTGCTTTTCCATCTAATAAGAGTTTAACTAAATTTTATGTAATTGAAGATGTTGCATTATTCCTTATTCTTTCTAAAACAGCCAGCTAGTGCCATGCAGCTTACAGCAATAAATGTGATCCTTGATTTTTATTTGTATGAATTGACTTAATTGAACCAAGTAATCTTCAAAAGGTGGAAAATGAGTAAATTTTAACTTGAAGCAGATTTTAGATTTATTGACTTCCTTCCACTAAGGTTGACTTGATTAAAAAAGTATCTCATGTTACAGTATTTTATTTTTCAGCCTACCGATATAAGCTTGATTGTTAATATTTATAAATGCATTCATATTCTATTTTTAAAGTTTGTGATGACATAACCACAGAAATTTTAACAGTTGTTAAACCTTTTTCATTATTAGGCTAATCCATTTTAGAAGAATAATTATGTGTGGGTTTCTTTGTTTTAGGAGGCAGTTCCCCTGTTACACTCAGCAGATACTCACGGAGCATTGTAATGAAGTGTGGTTCTGTAAATTCTCTAATGATGGCACTAAACTAGCAACAGGTTCAAAAGACACAACAGTTATCATATGGCAAGTTGATCCGGTATGTACTCCAGTACGTGTCTTTCAGTTGCACAGGGGAGTGGATTGTGAACCTCTCTCATGGGGAGTCTGTATCTATAGTACATGTGAATCCTTGGCAAATGCAGTTTTGGTCAATGTTTGTCATTTCTTCCTATGTTGTTTAGATAATATAGGTAGATTGATTTTGAAATTTCTAAGTGTGACGTACCAGTGTCATGCCAAGTCTGTGTGTGCATTAAGTAGTGTGTAACTATTATGGCCTGTTTTTATACAAGAGAACAGGTAGAAGTTACATGTCTAGCCTTTCACAGCTGATAAATGGCAGAATTTGACATAAGGAATATTTTGACTAGAAAACCACTGTGATTAGCTTCTCTACCAATTTGTATTTTTGTTAATACTTAATTTATAGGCTCTGTGCCCATTCTGTCCCAGGTTAACAAAGGCTTGTTACACTGCCCTCTGAAGCCCTTTGTTGCCCTGCATAGCTTGAGTCTTCTTGTGTAGACCCTGCCCCCTTTTCCCAGTGACATAAAAATTACTGCATTCTGGATTTTAAATGCTAAGTATTTTAGAATCACACTTATCTTTATTTATAGCCAGTGACTACAGATTTGTAGAAGTAACTTTTTTATTTTTTTCAACCAATTCAGCATTTATGGGGTAATCAAAGAAGCACAGGACTCCCGATACATTAAGAAGCTACACTTGGCTTAGAAGTCATTCATCTAAAATCATGAAATAAATGAACTTGTTTAAAGTTCAGATTAGACTATTATATTAGTCCAAGATAACATTTTGGGCTTCTGTGTTGAAAAGAATAGAGAAAAGGAAATGTTTTTAAAAAGAAAGAATCCAGTTTGATAGCATACATCAGTTCCTGCATACCTGTGTGCTGTGGAGGATGAAAGGAAACACGATCTCCTCTTCACTGATCAGCAAGGCTTGTGTACTTGTTGTGCCATATACTCTTGGCAGTTTGGCAAACCTAATTTTAAATGCATAAACTAGAACAGCAAGCCCAGATATACATTAGATGTTAATTACATCGGAAGCCCAGTTATATTTAGGTAATTATCAACATAGTACAAAAAGGTGTCATAGTACTCCTGTATTAACACATTAAATTATCAATTCTAATAGCAAATGTAGAATCACAGTTTTTTTTAGTAGTGAGCATATATGTAATTCAAGATAATAGTATTAGTAACAGCTCTAGTAGGTTATGAAAATAACTTGAGATTTCTGTTAAAAGTTACATAATTCTAAAAACCAAGATGGCTTATGTAAAGGTGCAAATTTCTAATGATGAATGCCGTTGTATACTTTAAATGTACCAATAAATTAATTTTTTTAAAGTTACATACTTCTAGTTACTGTCCTCCTACCTAATGTAGTATAATAGTACCCACCCAGTACTACTTTAATTGCCTATATTCAGGATTGAAAGAAAGACCAAATTTTAGATGGTGGTTAAGGAAAATAGAGATATAAATTTTTCTTATTTAAATGCAAGGACCCCTCATTCTATCCCTCGACCCCTTCTTGTGAATTCCAGGTTAAGAACCCCTGTGAAAGGATTGTACAGGTTAGAAAGGGAAATGAAGTGTAGTAAAGTGAGCATTACCGTCTGTGTGTGTGTTTACATATGTATATACACGCACATGTTTTGGAAGCACAAGGAGCCTCACAGGTGAGAATGCTGCATTCCAGCAGTTCTGTGTGTCACGTGAATGGAGGCATCTGGGAAGAAAGGAAGCATCTTCTGTCCCCATCCCCTCAAAACAAGCTAGAGTTGATAATGATGAAGAGTAGGAAAGAAGACTAATGGGATCAGATCATGGCCTTTGAATCCTAAAAGGGTTCTGTTTTCATTCCTTTACATGAGGTCTAAAGGAATATGACAGTATCAGAAGTATGCTCTACTAAGTTTTTTTCTCATAGCTATAAGAGCCCCCTGCACAGCCAGTATGCAGTGTGTGCTTGTGTCAGGATTTTTGCCACAGGCAGCCCAAGCACATGATGCACTATAGTTGCAGGGTCGGTGCTATGGCAGCTCAGAGAGGAGAGCCTGTGGGATCAGAAAGCCAAGGGAAGTAAGAAAAGCAGATCCTAGGTGCAGAACTGGCAACAGATATTTAGGTGGAACTAGTTAGGAGTGCTCCTGAGATTTTAGAAATGGCTTGGCATTTGGGCAGTTTGTGGCAAGAGTCTTTAGTAGACGGAGAGATATGGTTAATAAAGCAGCGCTTAGAAGCAGGGAGAGCTTTGCTGGAGTTGAGGACATTTTATGTCAGTGTTTCCCAGGGTGTTTTTGTCAGTATAATGGTTATGTAAATGTATCGTGTTAAGTGTGAAAGTGTTTTAAGCTATAATATCTTGGGAAAAACAGAGTTGATGCTTATATTCTAGTCTGAATAGAGGTGATTTTAGACACTGTAGTTTTCAGATAGCTGCAGAACACCAGGTCCTCACACAGGCTAACTCTTCTGCTGTGGTGGTACTTTTGTTATGTGGAATACTGTTGGAAAATTCGTGCCCTTTTCAATATGCATTTTGTGTTTGGACTATATTTTTTACTAGTTAGATAAAAGAAACTTAAGGTTAAAGCTGTTGTTAGTCTAACGCCCTGTTTCCTTTAACCATTTTTCCCTTTGTCCAAAAAATGAATTTTACCCATTCCCCCCAAAATCTGAGCAAGTCATGTGAACTCCCATGGTTGCACATGCCTTTAATCCCAGCACTTGGGAGGCTGAGGCAGGAGGATCCCTGTGAATTTGAGACCAGCCTGGGCTACATAGTTCTAGGGCAGCCTGAACTACAGTGTGAGATCCTGTCTCAAAACAACAACAAAAAAGCACTATAGTATTAAAACGTTATTTTACAGGATTGTATTTTGTTTTTAAGGTGCATGAAACAGTTTTTGAGTTAAATGTAAAGGAATCTGTTACCAGTTTAAAAGCATATCTCATAGGCCAGTGGTGGTGAACCTCTTAGAACTTTTCTGATAACGGACTCGGCTGTGACGTGAGTGCCATAGTTCGTCACCACTGACCTAGACCATCACTGTGCCTGAAGGTTCGTTCCTGGAAGATGTTAAGCTGGTCAGAAAATGGGACTCGTTTGGTAAATTATACACATTCCATTGACTGAATACTACTGATGTAAATATCCTATACCTATTACCACCCTTCCAAAGATGAATCAAATTGTTGCCTTGTCACTTTTATCAGAACAGTTGAGATTTGGACTAAAGAATTGGATGAATGGTAGGTAAGCTTAGAGAGAACATAGTAGACACTGCCTACTTCTCAGGGGCATTGCTTGGGTTGGGGACCCAGACTGACTGAGCATCAGCTGTCACTGCTGGAATTCCTCCCTCACCCAGGCTTAAGCCTAGGCTCAGCAAGCGCTCAGGCTAAAGTCTGCGATTTCTCTTACTATGTCTCATGGTTTCTTACTTCCTCTGCCTATCCGCTGCCATACATATCCCCTGCACCAGAAATGAGCAGCTTGTCTTTGAACATTTTTTGTTTTTATGTTGTATTGTTTTTGCCGTGCTGGGATTGAACCTGGGCCCTCACATATGCTATCCAAACACTGCCACTGCCCTGTTGCTGTGTTTATCGGAAGTGTCTCTTCATTTGGTGTTTTGCATCCTGACCATCCTAGTAGAAGCCTCAATGTTAGGAGCACTAATTGTTGGCTCCTTACATGTTTCTTGATCTGGTCTCTTGAGATTGCTGCCACATTGTTGTCCTAGTCCTCTCCTTAAAGCCAAATACCAGATTATATATTCCTAGCACGATGTTTTTTAAGTGGCTTTTCACCTCCTGGATAAATTGAGCCTCTCCGCCTCAGATAAGCACATCCAACCCTGTTACTTGCCATTCACAGTCGAAGGTCATGACTCAACCTGCAGAGATTGGCAGTACGGGCCTTGAGTCAGGCAGTTGTGATGCAGATCCCCAATGTGCCCTAACCAGAGGCAGATTTCTAACCTATCCAAGCCCTGCTTCCCTCCCTGTAACACGAGTGAGGTGACAGCACTCACCTCCTATACTTGTGAGAATTAAATGAAGTATTGTGTGAGTGTGGTAGCTTTGCAGGTGGGGATGGGATGTGATGTGGTCCCTTGGGAAGTAGTTTGGCAGTTCTTTAATATGTTGACACAGCTGGGTGTGGTGCCACACACCTCGAATCCCAGCACATGGGAGGCTGAGACAGGATTGCCATGAGTTCAAGACCAGTGTAAGACTGTTTCAAAAAAAATGTTGAACATAGAGTTAGTATATGACCCAGGAATTCTACTCCTGTGTATTTATCCAAGATAAATAAAACAGTGTCTCCACACAGAAATACATAATCATAGCCACATGGTTTAGAGTAGTCAAAGAGTAGAGATCAGATTGTTCATCAACTGATAAATGGGTAAACAAAGTATACCTGTAAAATAGTATTCTACAAGGATGAACACTGAAAACCTTATACTTATGAAAGAAGCGAGTTAGAAGAGTCTATACAGATACACACAGACCCCACGGTTAGGTTTGTATGACATGTCCAGAACGGGCACATCCATAGGAACAAAGTAGTGGCTGCCAGGAGTTTCAAGTGAGTGACTACTGCTGGGTGTGGGACTTTTGGAAGAAAGAATGATTCTAAAAAGTTGGAAAAACAGATGTGGTGCTAACACAAGTATAAATGTACTAAAACCACTAAGTTGGAAGGCAACTATGCTCACCACTATACCACCAACACTGCAGTAAAACCACTAAGTTGTACACTGTCTAGAAGGCTGAATTTTATGTTATTACGTCTCAGTGAAGCTGTTAAAAAATAAGAAGTAGTTCTTGTTACACCTTTCTGCTTTCTGTTCTCTTGGAAGTCTCCTCTGGGCAAGTTCTGGGTCATCTTTACATGTCCATCTAGCACACAGTGACTTCAGGGTGGTAGATACTTAGCAGATAAGAAACTGAGTGAATATGAAGCAAGCTGAGGTTTAGTCAGGGAAAATGGGTGTGAAAACCTCTGGATTATTTTATTCAAAGCATATCTTTTTAGCTCTATACATTCTTGTGCCAGAAAACAATGATTTTTAGGGGATAGGCACTAACTGAGTTGTCTGTTTTCCCTTCTAGGATACACACCTGCTTAAACTGCTTAAAACATTAGAAGGACATGCTTATGGTGTTTCTTACATTGCATGGAGTCCGGATGACAACTATCTCGTTGCTTGTGGCCCAGATGACTGCTCGGAACTTTGGCTTTGGAATGTACAAGTGAGCGGGTTCCATCCACCCTTGGTTGATGTAGCTTTTCAGTAGGCAGAGTCATAATGTACTTACTCGAACTGTTCCTGGTGTGAATGCAGCAGAATCGCTTAGCCTGAGTCACTGTATTACATTTTTTTGTAAAAGGAAGTTCTTCAGGTGGAAGCCTAGTGTCCAGATTTATGAGTGATGAGTGTTTTTCAGGGTGTTTTGTCCTGGGAAATCTGCAGTTTCCCATGTGCCTTCGAGAAGATTTTGTGGTGGCTTCATACATAGTTCCATAGTTGTGTCAGCATTGTATCAGAATTTCTAATCAAATGGCAGTTGAACCATCTTCTTACCTGCATTTTATATTCTGAGCTACTTGTGAGGCAAAATGGTGTTTTTAGTACTCATTTTTAGTGAGAGTTCAGTTATTATTTCTAAAACTTGAACTTTATCGGGTCCCATTTTAGAAGAACTCCGCATTGGGCTTACTCAGTTATTTACCGGCTTTAGAATCCCTGCAGTTAACAATTTTTTTTGAAAAATTAAACTTCTTTAAGATGCTTGGCTAGCTGATGGTTTTTTGCTTTTTTACCTCCTTGTGAAAGGAGTGCTAAGTGTTTGCCTCTGAGTATATAATTCAATGAGATAGAATTTAGAGTCCAGGGACTTGTAAGTCAAGAGTAAAGCCAGCTGTGATAGCACATACCTGTAATCCCAGTGATCTGGGAAGGTGAGGCAGGAGGCAGAAGTTTGAGAAGAAGTTTGAGCTCAGTGTACAATTTAGTAAAACCCTTCTCAAAGATTAAAGGAAAGGAAAAAATGGGGGGCTGTGGGAGCAGTTCAGTGTGGATGAAGTTGAATCCCTTGTACTTTAAAAAAAAAAACACGAAAATGACTCAAGGGTGCTATAGAAAATAATAAGATGACATAATTCTAATTCAGCAGTTACAACTACATTTCCTTACTGCTCAGTCAACCGATTCTGTTTCAACCCCAGCTTGCTCCCCACCTCCCCTACTGGTTGAACTCAGGACCTTGTGCTTGCCAGGTAGGCACAGTGCCACTGAGCTACATCCCTGACCCTCAGCCCCAGCTTTCTATTGAGAATTTTCATAAATCAAGAAAAGTTGAAAGTGTATGCCTACCATAGATTTGAAAGTTACTAATATTTTATAATATTTTATATACATATGTATATATAGAAACATACAAACATGTACTTATTTACGTACATCCATATCCAAAATGTTTGAAATTAAATTAGATGTATTCTACCTCTAAATATGCTAATCATGTACCTTCTTTGAAAGACATTGTCCTACATAACTGAAGAATATATCTAGGAACATTATAATTCTCTAATATTCATTTCATAATCACAATTTCCAGTTATTCCCAAAATATCTTTTATGCCATGTTTATCGGGCCACCATTTAAGTGTTTTATTTGTGATTTGGTAGAGAGGTAGCAAACTACAGAATAGAATAAAGGGCTTTTTTTCAGTAAAATAGAGCTGGAAGTAATTGTGACCTAAAAGACAAAATAAATTGTTTTTCCTCTTGAACAGGAGAAAATATGTAGTCTCAGTCCTATAAAAGAAATAATTTGTCACACTTCTGTAGTCTTTCTGTTGGTCTTGAATTTCTGGACAATTAAACTATGTTGTGGAGTAACTTTTACAGTGTAGCACTTTAGATTTGTTTTGAAAAGGTAGTCTTTTAAAAATCAGTTTTCAAATTATTCCTTTGTGGTTTTTGATAGTTTCCAGTAATCTAATAGCTTTATTGTGCATGCAGCCATTTATACCTTCAGAACGTGCGTGAGTAGGAAACGCCAAGGATTTATTTAGCAGTTACTTGCATATTTGTGCTTCTAAATCTTTAACTGTCTTATATGCCAAATGACAGGTGAATAGTTCAAAGTTTGTGGAAATATCTAGATTGCTGAACTTTTTTTTTAGTGAAAAGGGGACATCTGATTTTCTGCTTTGTGACCTCTGCACCTTTATTGCTTCACTCCAGTTCCTAATCATGCCCTTTGTTTTCACTCTTATTTTTAATTTCAATTACCCATTTCTCACAGGAAAATTATGCCCATGTACTTTTTATTATACCAAGGGCAGCTATTATCTCTCAGATCCTGTATCTAATCACTGAGCAAAATGGAACCAAGACTAGATTAAATGGTATGTGCCTGCCTTCTAAACTGAGTAACTTAGAAAATGTTACAGGAGGATTTCTAAGGGTTATAACTGCTAATTTTCACTTGTCTGGAAATAATGTAGAATGGCTATGCTTTCTTTTCCTACTTTTATCTAAAAAAAAAAAAAAAAGGTTACATATTAGAAAAGTAATATTAATTTCTGTTTTTGCATCTCGCCCACTATATTGTGAGCATTTGGAATGTGAAATTTAGTGTAGAGTGCCCTTGATGTCATTTAAGAGCATAGTTGACCATGTTCTTAAGAAATTGCTGGCCACAGGTTTAGAGTAAAATTTATAAAGAACTTTAGACTGAGAAAGGTAACTCAGGATTGGGTATGTAGCGTTTAGGCTTGTCATTATCTTGGGAAAAATTACATGTTTTACTTGATGAATGTAATTGGCTCCACATGAAGAGTATATTGACATTTATCTCATTATCTGCTCTGAGTCATCTGTGGCAGGCATTGTTCAGCTTCTGGCTTTTCCTTCAAGTCTTTAATTCTCTTCTGAATGTTGTCCTCTTTTTTTTTTTTTTTTTTCCCTTTTTGGGAAGGGGATCGAACTCGGGACCTTGTGCTTCTTGCCAGGGAGGCACAGGGCCACTGAGCTAAACCCCCACCTGCCCCCCCCCCCTTTTTTTTTTTTTTTTTTTTTCCCTTTTTGGTAAGGGGATCGAACTCGGGACCTTGTGCTTCTTGCCAGGCAGGCACAGTGCCACTGAGCTAAATCCCCACATGCCGCCCCCCACTTTTTTTTTTTTGTCTCTTTGCAAGGCCAGTTAAAACAGTTCATTTCTCTAATTACAATTACCAAACTAACCAGATATCCAAAATCATTCTCTTTCCATGCTTTTTTTTATTTTTTTAAACATACTGTTTCTCTTTCTTTACATATTCCCTCTAGGGGTATATCTTCAAGGTCTTATCCATAGTTTTATTTCCTTGTAGACGGGAGAACTACGGACGAAAATGAGCCAGTCTCATGAAGACAGTTTAACAAGTGTGGCTTGGAATCCCGACGGGAAACGCTTTGTGACAGGCGGTCAGCGTGGACAATTCTATCAGTGTGTGAGTGTGCAAGCCCCTTCCCAGTGTTCACTTGATTAAATGAAAGTTTAAGGCCAGGGATTTAGCTCAGTGGTTCCGCTGCCTGCCTCGCAAGTGAAAATTCTGGATTTTGGTCCCCGGCACCCCCCAAAAAAAGGAAAATTTAGGGGTTTTTTTTGTTGTTGTTGTTTCAATAAATGAATTGGCAAGTATCTTCTATAAAGCACATTATGTACACCAGGTGTGATAGATCATGCCTATAGTTCCAACCCTGGGAAGGCTGAGGCGGGAAGAATCACTATGAGTTTGAGGCCAAGCTGGGCAGCACAGTGAATTCAAGGCCAGCCTGAACTACTAGCGAGATCCTATCTCAAAAAACAAAACAAAAACTACTATCTGAATAGCTACTTTGGCATCCTATTAACGCTATCCACTAGAATGTTTTTCATTCATGCTTCTATTTAACCATTTCAAATGTTCATATAAGACACATTTTAGGTTAGAAAAAATTATTTTTGTAAACATTTTTGTTACTATGAAACAAGTTACTAATTTATGAGAATGTAAAAATTTAGTGTTAATTTTCTTTGAGGTTTTTAAGCCATTTGAGTTCTTGTGACAACAATCAATGCTGGGTTTCCTAAGTCAACTGTTTTAAATATTGAGGAATAAAAGTGGTGGCCATAGCCAGCCAAAAGACTGGGGTGTGGCTCAGTGCTAGAGCCCCCAGTACCACCAAAAGGGGGTCATGAAGAGCCGGGGATTTAGCTCAGTGGAGCTCTGCCTGCCTCACAAGCACAAGGTTGTGAGTTCAGTCCCCAGTACCAAAAGAAAAAAAGACACGTAGAAAATCCTGTGACCAGATTGATCGTGATACAAATGCAGTGCCTTTACTCTTGCCTGGATCCTGTGTCTCAAGTCTCTGCCTGACGCGATTCCACTAGGTGCTTCCAGTTTTATTTTTTTTAAGACTTAAACAAGGTGATAAATCATTTACTGTAATTATAAAGATTGTCTTATGTAACCATTATAAGTTATCAGTTCCTTTTATTAAGCCAGCTTGGGACTAGTGAAATTTAGTATTGTATTATCTCAGCGTGTTTATAAACCATGTCTAGGCACAGGACAGCCGAGTAAGTTCCTCTTGACTCTGCTTCCTCGTAGAGCGCTTAAACCTTCAGGATGCAGAATTTGGTAATTCTCATTGATCTGTGAAATGGGAATTCCAATGCCTCTCAGAGCTTTGAACATTGAAAGTTTTGAAAACTGTCTGAAGGGTCTTCAAGTTCTAGATAAAGCTATGTCTTAGTACCCATCCTCCTCATCACAGCTTCTGAATGTTATGGAACAGATCCTAGTTCAGTCACCCTGGGCATCTGACAATTGGTTCCAGAACCTCCTCAGATACAAGAACATGCAGCTCTAGTCCTCTGTGAAATGGCACTATATTTGCATAAAATCTCTACACCCTCTGACATACTGTATGTAAATCATCTGTAGAATATTGGCACGACCCAAAATAATGTAGATGCTGTATATATAGATTATGCTACATTGTTTAAGGGGTAATGTTCAGGTATGATCCATACACTTGTCGTTTCTGTTCTTTAAATATTCTCCTCTCTGTTTGGTTAAACCATGGGTGCTGAGCCCATGGATTAGAAGGGCTAAGTATGGTGAATTTTGAGGGGATGTTTAAATTATTTTCAGTTAAAATTGAGACTTTATGTGAACTTGGATTTTTTTTTTTTTTTTTTGCTTATTTTTTATTTATGTATGGTGGGGTATTGAAGGGAGATAGATTTACAGAAGGTCTTCCTAACTCCCTTTAGATATCAATTACAAACTCTGACCCATATTCAAATTCCATGGTTAAAAACACTTCTAAAACAAGTAGGTTTAGATCAGTCTCGGAAAGAAACAAACCCATTTCTAAAAGCTACTGGCCAGAGAGTCAGTCAGTCTGGCCCTGCTCAGTAAAGGCTCACAGTGGTTCTCTGCGCTCAGGACTTGGATGGGAACCTCCTGGACTCCTGGGAAGGAGTGCGTGTGCAGTGCCTGTGGTGTCTGAGTGACGGGAAGACGGTCCTGGCGTCGGACACGCACCAGCGGATTCGGGGGTACAACTTCGAGGACCTTACAGATAGGAACATGTAACTACCCTGCGCTTCCACTCAGCAACAGTTATATTAGAATGTGTGTGTGGTAGGGCTTTTTCAGAAGAGCAGGGGTGGTTATGTTTTTATGTTTTGGTTTTGATTGCCTGGTAATATTGGTTGATGACCAGGTGGGATTTAATCATTAACTCAGATTCTTAATCGCACGATAGTGTATAATGATTGCAGGCAAAGTTGTACTTATGCTGGAACATTTTATATCTTGGTAATTTTACTGTTCTGAATCCTAATTTATTGCTTCTGACAAATTATTTTCTGCTTACAGAGTACAAGAAGATCATCCTATTATGTCTTTTACCATTTCAAAAAATGGCCGATTAGCTTTGTTAAATGTAGCAACTCAGGTATGTTTATTAAAGTTTTCAGAAAAATTCATTGTAATACAAATTTTAATTACAATTTCAAGTATATATAGAAACAGTTGTACTTAATAAACCTTATTGTATGTATTTTATCCTTAATTGTGTAGAATTAGCCACTTACTAGAATAATAGTGTTTTGCATAAATAAAAAATGAAATTGTTTCATCCGGCAAAAATTACTTGTAAAAGTTGTTTGGGGATAGAATAATACTTGTATTCTCTTTTACCTACAGGGAGTTCATTTATGGGACTTGCAAGATAGAGTTTTAGTAAGAAAGTATCAAGGTGTTACACAAGGGTTTTATACAATTCATTCATGTTTTGGAGGCCATAATGAAGACTTCATCGCAAGTGGAAGTGAAGGTGAGTTTGTCTGTACCAGTCAGTTCTCATAGAATGATGAACTTAAGTTCTGTAGTTCTAAACTTCTGAAGGTGGTCATATCTCCAGGCAAACTGGTGTTACTAAAAATTTTGAGTTATTTGTCCACTACACTATTAACTGCCTGATTTGAGCATTCCTTTTTGTCACAAATGAGTAGTGGTTATAAGTCGGTCTTTTTTGACCTTTCTAATCATGTCATGATCTTCCAGACTCTTCATGGATTTCTGACTTTTTTTTTTTTTTTTTTGAGGCAGGGTCTCATTGTGTAGTCTAGGCCATCCTTGCACTTGCTGTGTAGCTCAGGCTAGCCTTGAGCTCGAAATCCTCTGGCCTCAGCCTCCAGAGTTCTGGGACTACAGGGGTGGGCCACCACACCTGACTTCTAATTGATTTTTTTCAGTGTTTTGAATGCATTATGCCTTCTACTTATATTTTAGTTCTTCCTATTCTAAGACCTTTTCCCACTCTGCTGTATTCAGTCCTGCTTCTAGTGAATTCTTTTCCCTTTTAATTGTGCCCCAGAGTCCTCTGTAGTTCTAAAAACATGTATCCTAGAGGTGCTTTAAAAATAGGAATGGCACTGAGCGTGGTGCACACACCTGTAATCCCAACAGTCCAGGAGGCTGAGGCAGAAGGATCACTGTAAGTTTGAGACCAGCCTAGGCTACATAGTTGCAGGTCAGTCTCAACTACCTACTGAGACCCTGTCTCAATAAATAAATGAATGAATGAATGAATAAATAAATAAATAAGTAGAATGGCTACCATTATTATTGGTGGCACCAAACATTTTGTTAATGCCCAAACTAAGATCTGTACCTGATGAATACTGTAATTAAACCGTATTGTATTCTGTTTAAGGCTAAAAATTAGACAACTGAACTGATGGTAGGTTTCCCATCATGAATATATCATCTCCCAAAATGACCACAGTAACCCATTTGCCATTTTTTGCAAGCAGTATATTTCAGCGAGCCACCAAGTCTCTAAATATGTGCATCCCAGTATAAAAGAGCAGTTGGGGGGTGGGCAGGGATTTAGCTCAGTGGTGCCATACCTGCCTGGCAAGCACAAGGTCCTGAGTTCACTACCCAGTACCAACAATAAAAAGCAGTTGGGAACCTCTTCCACAGAAAAGTTGTACTGTTTGGGCTTTGTCATGGTGTTAGTAATATTTAGAAAAACTACACCTATTTTTTTTTTCTTGGATAAATAGTGGATTTCTCCAGCTATTACAACAGAGAACTAAATCATAATGCCTGTCATTTTGACCCATTTTTATTGTGCTACCTCTTCAGATATTTTCCCTACATGTGTGTGCACAAAAGTATTTTCCTCCTTATGTGACATATTTCAATTGCCTATATCTTTCTCCTTGGCAGACTTCTTTGATTCAAGAGGAAAAACACTAATGTGCCTTTTTTTGCCCAATTTCATTTTATGCGAGAAAAATTTTCAAAAACAATGAACAAATTCCTTTTAAGAGAGATGTACTCAGGCCTTCAAATTGTGCCTTTTTCACTTCCTTTGCAAAAAAAAAAAAAAAAAAAAAAAAA